GATAGATTTAAAAGATTTTGGTTAAATTTAAAAGTTATGAGATTATTCAAACCTTCAAGAGATTTCAAGAGATTTTTTTTGTTTTGTAAAATTTACAGAGAGTTTGGTAGTTTTAAAAAATTTATAAAATATTTTTACTATGACAGATTTTGAGAATCTAAGGCATATATGTAGTATTTTGAAAATTCTGATTTGTGAGTTAAATTGAAAAGAATCTTTATCCCAATAACACTAAATTATAATAGAATTATAAAATCACTAAAATATAAACCTTTTGAATAACAATAAATTTTGATTAGATTATAAAATTTATCAAACCAATAACAATGAATTTTTAAAAAATGTTATAATCTGTTTACGAATAACAGTAGAATCTATTTTATAATGTACAAATCCACAAACCAATAACCATTAAATCTTAAACTCGAAGTCAACCTCATAATTTAGTTCATACCTTGGTCTGAAAATCTGAAGTAAACTCATAAACTCAGAGATAATAAAAGAGCCTTAACTTACCTAGTAACAAACAGTCTGTGATTCACATTTACAAAGTGGAAAAGAGATACTGATCAGCTCTTCAAACGCTGTTACTACTCACTCACTCACTGCAACTAATTAAACATGCGAGATCAAAAGCACCGGACTGGCTTTTATCGTTCTGTTTACGCGTTTATGGACTCGCTTTACAACATAACATCAAAGCTGCATTATAGGAAAGAAAAAAAACCAAAAAAAAAAACTGGAACAAAGCTTACTCTTGTTGATGATGATGATGATGATTAGGCGTTTGGGGTTTCAGCTTCAGGGTGGTAATAAAGCATTTCGTTCCACATCATCTCTCTGATCATTCGTTCCTCCATGTTCTCGTCTATGTCAAGAGAGATGGGGACATGTGCAGGCGGATTTGATCCAGGATCAAACAGTCCGGCCATGTAAGGGTGTAACAGCGCATCAGTTACAGAGATTCTCTTGGTTGGATCAAACACGAGCATCCTCTGTAACAAATCTATAGCTAGAGGATTGGCTTGCGGGTAGAGATTTGATAGATGCGTACCCCTCGAGAAAGGAAGAGACTTTATAAATCTCCGAGCTTTTGGGTTGTCTATGAACCTGATATCTGACTCTGTTGGCTACCAACGACATTAATGATCAGCTTAAGCTGGTTGAGACATTCAGTTCCCGGGAAAATCGGTTTTCTGCCAAGAATCTCTGCGAATATGC